TAAGATTGCAACATGCTTAATATATCTATAGGAAATGAATCAAAATGTTTTGAAAACTGCCACTCAAGAGAAGGACCCCAATGCTCCAAAAACCAATACTAGAAAAGCCATTCCAAATGTCACCCCTCAAATCTACGTTGCCCCCACCTCTTAAAAGACTACTCTTATCTAGATTACCATTGCCACCATCGTCTAAATCCCCCATCAAACTACACAAATCACTACTACAATTAATCAAAACAACATTTCCACAACTTAGATGACATCGTTAACCCTCCCACCACTCAGAACAACACCAATATCCTTTCTATAGCTTAAACCATTACTATTACTACTCAAAACAGCCTATACACGATCCAAAACATCATCATCACTACCATTAGAGTCCAAATGCTCACTGCCACTATTGAAAATATTGATTTGCCTAAATCTCCCTAGCATCCTAATAAAACTCGCTAAAAGAATGCCACTCCTTTATTAGGATCACCCCAGATTCCTGCATAACTCAACCCAAAACTATGGTGTGATCTTATTTTTCAAATTCATAAGTAGACCTTCTAGGCAGAAAAGTGTGATTTTAGTTAAGTTTTCATTTAACCAATTTCAAGAAGGTGAAGGGTTTCCTATGGATTTTTGCCAACCATTTTCAATATAACATATTCTAACTAGTCTAATTCAATCCTACTTGGGTTTAACCCTTTATATCCATTACTTTGGTCCTGAGGTTTTACCGGTTCATACTCCTTATCATATCTAGCCGATCTCCTTTGTCTACCCTTTAAAAACTGGTTGATCTTATTTCACCAACAAATGGATATGCAAGTTGGGAATTTGCTGGAAAAGTGTACGGTTTATGTTTTGGTTGATAAAGATTGTAAGGATGCTACTTATGTCTTCAAATACGTGTTTTATCCTTTATGAAAAGATAACCAGGCCACTTTGAACTCTCTAATCTAGTTTTTTTGGAGATGTAGATAAGGAGCTTCATCTGTTCGATATTTAGTATTGCATCGTAGCTTCAATGCAAGCCAACAAAAAATTTCATGATAGGTTGGTAAGAATGAGTTCAAACTACTAAATAGATGTAATTTTGGGTTTATACAGAAATTTCCCACAAATGATTAATATTCAAACTACACTTTAAAACGATGAATCTTTAAAAGATCCACACCATGCTTAATATAACTTTGGGAAATGGATCAAAATGCTCTAAAAGTCTCCACTCAAGAGAAGGACCCAAATGCTCCAAAAGCCACCACCTAAGGAACCATTGCTTGTCAAAAAGCCCCGTTATTAGAAGAGAGCCTTTATGAATACTAATGCTCAAATTGACGTTACCACCACCATTTACAACACTACCTAGTTTAGAACACTATCACCACCACTATGTAGATCCCTATGAAACCACTCAAATTGTTACTACTACCAATAAAAACAACCCTTTCATACTTAAGACAACATTGTTAACTTTCCTATCACTTAAGATAACACCATTGACCCTTCCATTGCTTAGAATGACATTATTAACCCTAAACCTCTCATCGCTCAAACCACTACTATTACTATTCAAAATGACTTGGACACTATTTAAAACACCACCCCCATCTAGAACACCACTACCACCATCGCCACTAAAGTCCAGATCCTCACTGTAGGAGTGCCATTAATATTTAAATAATCTTTAGTCTTTAGAGAATTATAAAGAAAAAACCACAAACTTTTTGCCTTAAAACCTAAATCCAATTTGTGAGCTCGATGTTTAGCTAGTTTACTTTGAAACACATCAACTTGCACTACACACTTGGGGAAGTAGTGTTAGGGTAGTATGGTATCCAAGGAACCAACACCAACCCATTACAAGGTTATTATCCCAAGGTGCAATACCAATCCATTACAAGGTTGTGACCCACCAGCCAAATAAGCCCAAGAGGAAAATGAGCCTAAAGAAAGATTGCCACATATTATACAGTAACAAATGAAGAGCATAAATACCCCACACCAATCACTCCCAAAGTAATAACTCATAATCAAGTCTCTTTCTATATTTCTTAGTTGAGAGCTTCTCTTTTGTAAAATATACAAATTATTAATGATTTGAGTATTGGAGTGTTTACTAAAGGATACTTCCTCGAGTATTGTAGGTACATTGGGTGAACTGATTCAAATTCTACCCACGACCCAGACACGATAGTTCAAGCCTCAACATAAGGGTATTTTAGTAAATTTATAATATAAACTACAATTTTAATATATAATTTATCTTGTAAAATACTTTTTTTTTTTAAAGAAGAAAAACCCAAAAATGAATAATAGATGCAAAAAACTAGTGACGAAGGAACCTAGCCCCAATGAGTACCCTGTAAGGATGTGATTAAGTCCATGTGGCAGCGGTTCGAACCAACTAGTACCCGACGGAGAAGGAGAATGTCCAAGGGATGCCAAGAAGTCCGCAGCACCATTACCTTCTCTGATGGTATGTTACTCAACATTAAGTATCAAACAGCAATAATACCAGTAGAAACAATTTAGAAATCAATCTGAGTAAATTTGCCATGAGAGAGAAAAAGTAAATACACTAAAATGCTACATTTCATTCATGAATTTTTCAAACTACAAAAAAATTTGAGTAGCATAGTCTAATATCCCCTTAAATTCCAAGACAGGATATGATGCCTTGAAATGTTACCATTTTTTGGATAAAACACTAGTTTGAGCTACCTCTTTTGGCAAAAGGAAAGACATGATCTGATGTATGACGGGTTCAGGTACGTCGGAGATCCGGTCCACACCACCAACATTCTTCCTACACCACTTCATATAGCAAAATATGTTTTCAATTTGGAAATGCATAAGTTGAAATCAACAATACTAAAAAAACACAATCATAGACTGGAAAATTGCTTAGAAATATTATGTTGGATTCAGCTTCATAAAATTAAAGAAGCTCCCTTTAAAGAAATTATAGAGAAAGTCATGAACTTTAGGGATCATAAATTCAATATAGTCAAAAAGAAAAACAAAAAATTAAGGACTTCACGCTTAGATCAGACCTTAGAGTGGAGGAGTAGAAGTAAAAGAAACAGAAAATATAATAAAAATTAAACCAAAAAAGAAAACTTGGACAAAAATTTAATCCTAGAAACCTGCTCTGAAAACCGCTTTCAGTTTGAAGATAGAGAAGGACTTGGCAATGGAAGATTGGAGAGTTGGGATTTGAACTTGTATTTGGTCGGAAGAGAGGTGTGGAAATGGCGAGCGGCTGTAGGCAATAGGAAGTGAGACAGCAATATCAACGATGAGGTTTAAAATGCCTAGTTTCATTCTAAACCTTTAAAAGATTTAGTTCTTTAAAACAAAAGATTCAGTTGCAAAAAATGATCATGAGGATGGAAGATTATGGCGCATGGCTGCGGCGCTCATGTTAGCCTTTTCTAAACACATGCCGAAGCGAGCTTGAGGGAATTTGGTGTTCTTAGTACATCTAATTAATGTCCTTTCTTAGAAACCATCATAGTTGGTGTTCTTAATTACATATTATAATAGACCCAGAGGACTTTGATGTTTTTTTACAGTTTTTTCTAATCAATTACGGCGGCATGGAACAGGTGAAGGAGTTAAAAGAATAAATATTAATATTTAATTTATTAATTATTTAATTAAATTTATTTTTAAAAAAAATAATATCAAGATTAATACTTATTTTTATATTTTTCATATAAATTAACGAACAAAAAAAGGCACGGAATAAGAAAACTCTCTTTGACTTTTGTAAAGCATC